GTGACCTTAACAATTGTTGAAATCGGAGCAGTCTGTGACCTTAACATTTGTCGTAATCGAAGCAGTCGCCTGAATTAAGCGCGGTCGAAAAACAGTCGCCGGAGCAATCGGGGGGAAGAGATGGAGGTGGGGTGGATTATATTATATTACAATAAAATATTTAATTTAATATAATAATTGTGAAATATAATTAATTAATTCATGAAAAAATTCGATTTTTGCAATTTTAAACTTTGGGACATGATTTTTGATTTCCTCAAAGTAAATCCCTGAACCATGAATTTTTCCCAGAAAAAAATAGTTCTAACAGCTCTATGGGAAATGGTTTAGGCTCAGCTCGACCCAGCTCGAGATGGACCTCGAACTATACTTGGCTTGGCCCACCACAAATCCCATCCCGACTCAGGCTCATTTACTCTGGCCAAGCTAGCTCGTTGACACCTCTACGAGAGCTGGAAAACTTATCTCACTCGATCATATTTGGCTTAGCTTATTGCTTAAAAATAAGCCAACTTTTTTAGTATTTTCCTGTAATAAAAATCAACCTTAAAATTCTATGTTGAAAATTTGCATTTAAGCTAACCCTTCAACATCACAGCCTCTACCACCGAATAAAACAACAAGAAGGAAGAAAGAAAATGAAAATCAGATTACGAGATAAGTGATACACGGTTACATTACGACGAATTGAGTAGCAGGATCGATGGAATTGGTAGCGTCGGAGTTGGAGTCGGAGTCGTATATGATTGTAGACTTCTTAAAGAACTCTATACAATGTGCAACAACTTGACAATATTGAGGATCATGTACTTTGTATTAAGGCATTTGTGCATTTGTGGAGGATCGAGTATCGTATTAAGCTTTAGAGAGCAGAAAACACGATCAACTGAAAAACTGCCTCTCGAAAACGATCAAGAAACAACATAGGCGATAACTGATTGCTCTTTCTTGTGTAGCTACTACCTCTGAACCTGGGCATGCAAAAAGAGGTCCTTCAGCCTTTGGATTCCTCCATATTTGCTCAGGGCTGTTGGTTCAAGGTTCTCTATGGGAATTGAGAAGAATCTATGACAAAGCAAACAAGATGTTTTTTTTATAACAATGGACATGCTCCTGAAAACAAGTACTAGGAAGAAGCTACTGTTGCCAGATAATTCCCCCTTGTATGCTGGATAACATCCAGGGATAGATCCAGGATTGGATCCAAGACCGGG